CCCCCCTCCTCATAGGGATGACCGTATGACCACTGTGTAGGTAGAGCTCGAGAGTGCTGGGCTCGTAGCATTTGCCTGCCGAGTTAGACGAAGGAAGAACGACTCCATGCACTAGGACTGATTGAGCCAGACCTAAGCCCGCGTAAGCCGAGCTAAGCTTTTCCCAATGGGACCGCAAAAGGCAACGCAGATTCAACCCCTAAGGTACTGTGACTCCGTGAATGGTTTAGTAGCGTGGGGGGGGGGGGGATCTGGAGGCCGGCAATATCATTCCCAGTCCCAAGTTCCTTAACCATCTCTTATTGGAGGGGTCCACACCCCTTTGTCCTAGAGATCGAACCAAACCACTAACTAGACTCTAGAGAGTCATAGCAGACTAAATCACGCCCTAGCTGGACTAGTCTAAGACCTGCTGATTGTACCCGAGCATATCGTCCCAGTGCCCATGGTCATGCTTGGGCAGAATGGTACGTAGGTGATCTTGCTCGTCCAGGGAGATGGAGATGTACAGTCGATCCCCTCGTGCTAGAAGCTGGCCCGGAGAGAGAGAGAGAGAGAGAGAGAGCATGTATGTCAGCAGTAAGTTAACCAGCGTAGACCAAGACCCACAATCGCAGTCCGACGGACGAACGCATGAGCAACGAGTAAGTTAACGGACATTAGGAAGAACGTCAGGAAATGACCTGATGGATGGATGGATGGATGGATTCGATGGTGGAGGCTGGCGTCGGACTTTTGGGCATATTGCAGATGGAGGAACGAGCTGGATTCAGCTAGACTGGAGTGTATATAGAGAGGTACTACTCGTATGTACGAGTACAAATTTAGCGACCGAGTGGAAATGACGGGCCTCGGGGATAGATACCCGTTCCACACACCAGATGACTCAAGTCCTCCCAAAGCTTGAGTTCTTTGGCTGTTTGCTGCCTCCTATATCAGAATCATCAATAGGAGCCCTCCTCTAAGTTAGTTATTGTACGGTACACCACACATTGTGCAAGGCAGTCAAGTAGAGGGAAAATTTACATACCGGATGTCCGTCCGTACCGCTGCGATACGCACCTTATCGATAGAATAAATACAGTACGGTATGTTGAAATACCTCACACAGCTGACCTCGCGAGGCAGGCTCAGCCCCCCCCCCCCTCTCCCCTCCGGGCCCGAGAGCGCTTTAATTTCCGGCTCGAGGCCCACCAGCCATTCAGATGGAAGCACCCGAGCGTTTGAACAGTCCGATTTGTTTACTTGTCTACTCAAGTATCATGATAGTCAATTAAGGAACAGATTTACCCTCCCAGGCGTCCACCAATGGAACTTACTGATTACTAGGTGCTTCTGGTGGGCGCTGGTCAGGAAAGTCCTGTTCGATTTTCTCATTTAGATACTCCGTACCCTATTGTTCTTTTCTTTGTTTCCCCTGGTCATCTACCAATTTCCCTTCCAGGTTCCTCCTCGTGGAGGCTGGGATAGGTGAAATACGTAGTTTGCTGCTGCTGCTTCTGGTGCAGGTGGCCCCACCTCGCCTAGGGTCAGCTTACATACACTATAGCAACTAGACTGGCATTATGATGCTTGGTGGCCTAGCATGCGGGGATTGGTGGATTGTCGGCAGGCGACGCAGGTACACCGCATGCCCCGGCAGATTGCGGCACCACGCCGGACCGAGGTATCCTGCCTGTCACCCACATTCCTGCAAACGCCTCCCCGGGCATATTCCCTCGTGGCGGCTACTCCTGAACGTGCTCATCTCAAAGAAGACCGGTGTTATTCATTACGGTATCCATATCTACATCCTCATACCATACAAATCGACGTTCAAAACCATTAGCTCCAGCCAACCGGAGTATAACAGTGGAGTGATCATTGTAAAATGGAAATACCACAGCATCGTCCCATATGAAGAGAGTTTCAAAGGGTCGAGAATCCCTTGACATTGACATCGTGCAGTGGAGGAAAAGTTGTGGGGTAGAAGAACAGGGGTGTGAGAAGTGAAAAGGGTGAAAGCGTGAAAGACGGCGCTCAAAAGCTATGTACTAGAAGCGGAAAAGAGTCATTTATAAGTCCACCATGATCGATAATGGTTCTCAGCCGCCCTCTAGACAAGAGCAATAGCGGCGATAATCAGCGCAAGCATGCCAGTGGACGCCCGGTTGACCACGCCGGCGTTGGCGGGGGCAAAGGTGCTAGAGGCAGTGGCAGAGCCGGTGCTCGAAGTGCTGGACGAGCCAGAGGAAGAAGACGCGGCGGAAGTCTTGGAGGCAGTCACAGCGGTGGAGTTAGAACCGGAAGAAGTAGAAGAGACAGCGCCAGTGCTGGTCACGGTGGACAGAGTGGTGGCGGTGCCAGTGGTCTTCTCGCTGGAAGAGGAAGACGTGGTCGAGGAGCTGGAGGTCGTCGACTTGACAGTCGAGGTGGACGCAACGCCGGTGACACCGGCGATGGAGAAGCGGGGGGTGTAGTTGATATCATCCGTGTCCTCATCATTGATGATCTCGATCGCGTAATCAGATCTGCTGACCAGGCTGGCGGAAGGAGTCCAGGTAAAGCTACCGGAGTTGGCGACGCCCGCTATGGGAAGTTAGGACATGATAGTAAACAACTGGCGCGGCCGCGGATACTCACCGGCAAGGCTGTCGCCCGAGGAAGTGGTGAAGACAGCGCCCCACTGGAGTCTTAGGCTGACAGTTCCGTTGGAGTTGGCATCCCAAGTCAGAGTCGTCGGGGATCCGGCCGTGAAGGTGTAGCCACCCTCGGGAACGTTGAAGGGGTTGCTGGCCGCATTGGCGAGAGTAGCAATAGCGCCGAGCGCAAGGCAGAGCATGGAACGCATCTTGATTAATGTATACGGGCGAGAGATTAAGATAGACAATGGAATCAGATATAATCCGAGAGGAATCTTTATCGATGCAAGAATTGGGGATAAAGAGTGGAAGTGAGCGAGATGCGACGTGGGGAGTCAGACGGTCAAAAAGAGTGAACCGGGTGAGTAGTAGACACGAGCTGATAAAAGAGGAGGAGGGAAGCAAGAACTTGGCTGTCGCACAAGAAGGGAAGGAAGGAAGGGAAAGAAAAGAAAGAGAGAGAGAGAGAGAAAAAAAGGGAAGGAAAAGGAGGAGAGGGAGGAAGGCCAAGGACTAATAACCAGATCCGATCAATGCAGCAGTTGAAAGTGACAGCCAGAGATGCCTGTGTTTGAGTGTTTGTCGACCGGGTTTTAGCGTACCGGACCTTCTACAAAACTAGCCTGCATTGGGAGTGCCTCCAGTCCCTCTCCGGTCCGAATTGCCCGTCTTTAGACTCTGAGAGGCTTGCGGCGAGGAAAGTGGAAAGTCAAATGGTCAATAGATCGAGAGTCCGCCATGGTTGGTTGCAGTTCTCTTGTCCTTATTGAGCTTAGATACCCATCCCCCCCCCATCCCCCCTAAGAATAGTACTAGCAAGAGGTCGAAAACCCTGAGCTACCTTATGTGTATGTTCATGTTGTTCATGAAGATACGGTTGATAGAAACCCCCTCAATCAGAGATTGGGATCTAGACTGAGACTGTTGTGCTTCCTGCCCGGAGTCCTGCCCAGTCCTGCCCAGTCCTGCCCTGTCCTGCCCTGTCCTACCAAGCCTGCTTTCTCAGCAATGGACCTCTTCAATGACTTACATGAGTAGTACTCCGCCCCGTACTAGGTAGAGTCTGAAGTCTGGAGTGTCTGTCTGGACTCTGGACACTACGAGGAGTGGACCCTTGGTTGATTAGTTAGTGGCTGTAAGATTAAAAACCATCATTGGGATTTTCTGAACCCTCGGTGAGTCTCCACTGAATCCACTCCACGCGCAAGGTTTGTTAGCCGCTTTGCCCACCGGCCCCATCCCATTGGGCGGTTCCTGGTACCTTAGTTTTGGTACGAGACGGTACCGTGACCGGCAACGGTACGGAATTTCTTCTTCTTCGACCTGAATCAGCTCGGGCTGATTTTCCGAACCGAAATCGCCATCTCAGCTGGACTGAAATGTGGCCATGCCTCCGTGGTTCGCATTGGCTGCACACATATCGCTATTATTTATTCTGAGCGAATGGTGATGGATACCCGTCAACTTCACCTCAGTTCACTTGATACACAGTCGGGTATCTTATCTTACATCCCCAGTAGGACTATCTGAACCATAGCCGATCTTGTAATCTAAAAAAAAAAAAAAAAGGGTCAAAGCAGTCTACCCTAAGAAGCCTGGCCCTCGACCGCCCTGGATTAAGGGTGAGACATGATCGAGACTCGGATCCCCTCTCATCGCAATGCGTTAGGTTGACTTGACCTACTTTTGACCTCAGCTCGATTGTAGATTGTAACCAGTCTACAGTCATGGAGTCTTGGAGGTAGTACTGCACCATCTCGGGCTACTCAAGATGAGTCGCATTGCATACCGATCCATCAGCCAGCAGGTCCTTTTCTCTAACTACCGTTTAGGGTAATTCAACTAGCCTCAGAAGAGAATCGCCAATCCACATCCATCGCACCCGAAATTGGTAAAGGATCGTCCGTCTTTTTAAACGTTCGACCAAACTAAACCAACTTGCTTCCCCCGCACCAGTCTCCTCTTATCCAAAAAGGCAGATGATGATGATGATAATCATGATGATATCCGAAGTAATTCCTGCCTGAAAGGAGGGCCCCCTCCCCTCCCTCCGTGCTCAACGCCCGCTACGTCTGCCAGATCCGCTTTCCCTCCCTTCTCCCGGGACATTCTCCCGCCAAAAAACGCAGATGACAACCATCCCAGAAGACACAGAACAGGTCTTATGCATCCCGAGCATCGCATCTCGTATCGAGCTTGCAACTTCGAAAGCAAACAAAGGAGGACTCAGTCTAGCCTTTACCCAAGAAAGCCACATGGCTATTTTCGGGGGAGTGTCCGAGTGGGTCAGTCACTGTATGTACGGTAGGGCAACTTCAACCTACATATGCGAAGAGCCCGGAGGGTCTTTCCCTCGATGGTCTACTCCATTAAGGAGATCTAGCCGACTCAGTGGGGAAAACCCGCGTAAGAGCAGCTGCTGGACTTGCCGGGGGGGGGGGGGGGGGGGTGTCGGGCGTCACCTGGCAGTCAGCCCATGCTCACCCGTACTGTACATAGGAAGTGATGGTCTACACATTGATCTTTATACTGTAAATATGAGAAGTGTGTATGAATGGATGGATGTATGTACATTGCATTACCGCTGCAATGGCGCTGGAAATAACGTCTAACTATATGTCATGCAGTCATCTTCATCTATGCCGTCGTGGGAGCAGCAGCGGCATCGGCCCCCTGTCCGGGGGCCGTATTCGGAGTCGTACTCGCGGACATCACTGCCACCTCCTCACCCTCCTGGCGTTCCTCATTTCCGGGAGCAGCTTTTGCCTCCTCGGCGAGAGATGTCGCGCCGTTGCTGTCCTCTGGCTCTTTCGGCGTATCGAGCATGCCGTTCTCTCCAAGCCAAACAATTGCCTCCATCACCTTACGATCATCCTCGGTTTTTTGACGATCCAGAAGCTGATGGTTGTGCCTGTTAGTTGAATGTGCGGGATGTGGGAGTCCGACAAAGAACACTTACCGCCTGAAGAAGTCCCTTTCGTCCCTTTTGCTCCGCGGCTTTTGTTTTGGCTCCTCGCTCGGGCATTTCATGCGAGAATTTGCACCGGTTCCCATGCAAACAACGGCCATTACGCGCGAAATGCCGGCATACCTTCTTCTTCGGTTCGCGAGCCGGGGGTGGCACTCGCTCCGGCCCTTCGCGTTTGGTGGTGGCTTCCTCGGGTGCAGCATCATCGTCGCTGTCATCAGAATCCTCAGAAGATGATTCAGATCCGCTGGAAGATGTCCAGTCACTGCTATCAGAGTCGTCTAGGGACGACACGCTGGCTCCGGCGTCGACCTGAACTCCCGCAACCTGTGCGTTTGCGTCATTGGCAGGAACAAGCTCCTCCACAGCTGGACCACCTGCTGGTAGCGTAGTGGGTTCCGCTGGCTTGATCAAAGAATCCGGGGCAGTTTCTCTGTGGGCAACAGGCTGAGCATGATGGGTGGATGTGCTTGTTGAACTCTTTTGGAGTTCCTCCACCTTCATACGGGCCCTCTCAGCATCGGCTTCAGCTTTAGCGACCCGCTTTTCTTCTCTCATTAATTTTCGCCGCAGCTTGTCCGCTTTGAGCTTGGCCTTCGCAGCAATATCCACAGGATCATTGGAATCCTTCTGCCCGTCCTTTTGGCTCTGCTGCTCGCGCCCTTTTTGGTTCTTTGAATCCTTCTGCGGCGGTTTCTGCTCTTGCCGCTGCAGCTTCTTCTGCCGCAACGCCTCCTCTCGGGCCTTCTTAGCCTCCTCCATGGCTTTCTTCTTCTCTTCGACTCTCGCTTGGGTCGGAAAGCGCTTCTTTCGCTCTTCGATCCACGCTTTGATGTCCTCAGGCGACTGTAACGTCGAAGTTCGTCCCCTGTAGGTGAATTGCAGAGGCGCAGAAGCGCTCGCTGCCCCGGTTACTCCTTCCGCAGCCAGCCGTGCCTCCTCGTCCACGTCATCTTCCTCTTCACTAGACTCATGCTCTTCCGTTTTCGGCGTCAAACCAAGTTGGTTATGCTTTCTCTTCTTTTTCTTGGGCTTTCGAGCGGCGTCAGCCGGCGGAGGTGGTTTGGAGGGTAGCAGAGGGTTCCCAAAACTAGGAACCGGTGGTGGAGCCGCAACTCGAGGCGCACTTGCCTGGAGTGGGCGCCCAAAAGCTGAGTTATGGTCCCGTTTATTGCCATGGTTCGTTTGCTTATCCGGCTGGACATTGTGATGGTTGAAGGCGCGTCCACCTCGTTGGTGCCCGCGCTGCCCTCCGGCAAAGCCTCCCGTCGATCCCGAATTGTCAAATCCCCAGCGCATAGGTGGCCCCATCAGTGGGGGTTGAACCGTTGGCGTGACATGGTTGTGAGGAGGTACAGCGGGAGAGTATGTAGGTGCAGGTTGTGCAGCGGCCACAGGGTAGTTCTGTTGGGCTTGATACGGAGTAGGAACGTGTGCTACGGGCGCTGGGACGTACGGTTGGGGCGGGTTGTAGGATGGTGCAGCTGAAGTACGATGCTGGAAATTCGGCGAGCGCGTAGGCGCGAACTGAGGAGTCGGAATTGCTCGCGCAGTGGCAGAGAGAGGCTGAGGCGTGTATCCCGCGTAATTCATGGGTGTGTAGCCGCCGACAGGCCCAGGACCGGTGGCTGCGACTGTGGCAGAAGAATATCCCCGGTTGGCATTCATATCGGGTGCCATGTAATGGCTGCCGCCACGTCCACCCCCTCCGCCGCCGCCACGGTGATGGCTTCCGTAGCCTCCTCTCCCACGACCTCGATGGTGTGCACCGGGAGCGCGCCCGCCGCGTTGTTGACCGTGGTAGCCCGCATTGTACTGAGCTGCATAGGGAGCAGCGTTATATCCATGGTGGTATTGTTGTTGCGGATGCGGGTGCTGCTGGTGTGGCGGCTGGTGCGGCTGGTGGTGCTGTTGCTGGGAGGAAGGAGGAGGAGGGGGAGGCGGAGGAAAAGAGAACCCCTGAGGATTGTTGTTCATGGCGAGAAGACCTCGATCGATCTTCCAAAGGTGACAGAGACAGCCAGCATGCACGCCATTCTCTTTCTTCTCGGATCTAAGAGCGGCGGCGAGGTCGAGCTCGGCGCTACTTCTTATAACAAACTGGGCGGCGGCGGATGGGACCTTTCGCTGCAGCTGCCGCCGAGATTCTTCCGTTCCGAAGGACGCATCAAATTGCAATTGATCACGTGATAGGATCTCGGCCTGGGAGGCGGCGGCGGATCTCCCTCAGGCAGAAAATTCAGGCCGATCCGCCCGCCTGCCTGCCAATGGTGGGAATTGCATCTTATCGCATGCAGCGAGCTAATCGGATATTGTTTGAGTCGTGATCTTCACATGTCCTGACATGGCGTCGGAGGGGTGAATCTACTTGAGTTTCAAGAAAGAAAGAATTGGATAACAACCCGGCAAAACGGGATATGCTGAGGGTTTAACTTGTTCTCGTGTCTTGTACTCCTAACTCAGTTATTACTCGATTGGGACGAGAGAAAAAAAATTCCCGGGCTCCGTCACCAACACGCCGAGTGCGCATCCTCGCCCAGCATGTTCATTCTTGTCAGTCACCATGAAAGAAACCCATATGCTCGCCTAAAGCTGCAGTAACTGTGCTTGATTTAAAAGTAACATCGACTGACCGGATTTCCACAGACCACTGTCTCCGATCTCATCCAGATCTCCCCCGAGGATTTCTCGAAGTACAGCGCTGTAGCCCTCGAAGATAATATCAACGAGAAGTATGCCAATAAGGTAAGTTCACCCCTGATACCCCAAACTCCGTCCCTCAAGTGTCCAAAGTATATATGATATATGAACTAAAACCTCATGGGACAGGTGATCCAAAAAGTCGGCCTGTGCATTGGGTTCTATGACCTGCTCGAGTCCTCGGACGGTCTTATCGGCCATGGAACCGGTCTAGTTAATGTGAACGGTAAAGACTCCCCTTGCTCAACATGCAGAAGCTCGCTTTCTGACCCCGGATGGCAGTCAAATTCCGACTCATCGTCTTCCGTCCATTCAAGGGAGAGATCATGCTCGGAAAGATCTCGAGTGCTACTGAACATGGCATCAAAAGTAGGCTCTCCCCCGCCCCTGTCGACTATAGCCCATGCTTTTCGCCTTGACGGCCCCTTTCCACCTCTGACACATGGGTTTCTTCCTTCTAGTCGGCGTAGAATTCTTCAACGATATCCTCGTCCCTCCCGATCTTCTCCTCGACGGAGCCAGATTGTAAGTCTCTCTCTCCCCCCTCCTGTCTCTCTCATACCCAGCGTTCATTCCTCCTCCAATAACATCTCCACCTCCCACCACCTACTAACGTCAAGGACAAACAGCGACTACGCAGACCAAGTCTGGATCTGGGAGAACGAAGACGGCTCGACCTTCTACTTCGATGTCGGCGAGGTCGTCCGTTTCCGCGTGGAGATGGAGGAGTGGCATGATCAGATCCCCAACGCCCCTGATCTAGGCGATGGCGCCGCCGTGATCGAACGGAAACCGCCATACTCCATCATTGTACGTTTCATTTCTGACTCCCCATCCATTCCAATCTGTGTGCCTTAAGGAATGAATGACCATATACTAACGGCGGGGCAGGGTTCGATGCAAATGGCCGGCTTGGGTCCGATCTCTTGGTGGTGATCGAATGGATTCTTTCTTTCTTTCCTTCTTTCTTTCTTTCTATTGTAGATTTACCATCTCCTGGTTGTGTTGATTCTTGGCGTATATGTTTGTTTGGCTACAGTGATCGATTTGGGGAAAACTTGGTAACGTGAGTTCTCGAAGTGATGTGGGCATATGTAATCTTAGGAGGGGGAGGGGGTTGGATTACCCTTTCTGGCTAGGTGTCTCAAAAGTTGCTTTCAGGTAGAAACATAAGAGCTTATGTTAGAATCCGCGTGATATATCAGCTTGATACTGTTGTTGTACGTCGGTGATTTGGTCCAAATCCCTGGCATACATGGTCACTGAGACTGCCGCTTTAGGGTTCAATAGGCTGATCAGATATTCAATGACGAGGACCAAAGTTTGATAAACATTGAATTACGGAAAGAGATTGTAATCGATGATTAAGATAGAATAATGTTACATTTTCTTTGCGAGCATGAAATGCCAGCGTAAGGGCCAGCTGCTCGAGAGTGTGGAACAAACCTTATGAATACTGTCTACAGGGCAAGCGTTATACATATCCCAGAGATGAGGCGAGCGACTAACCCGCGGACAGTAGTCAGTGGATTTCGAGAACAGATTTAGCGCAGCAAATACCATCACATTATTCATTATGATCCTAGATAAGACCACCAATGCCAAGCTGCGAACCTACCAGAGGCGACAGCCATCGAACCGGGCATTGGGGGTGGACAAAAACGCTAGTGGGTTGAAAACATCATGGGCCATCCATCTACGAAGCTGCCCACAGCGGGGTCACCCGTTTGACGTATTTCATAAACTTGAAGAACCCGACGGCATGTTCAACATTGCCGTATGGATCAACCACCCGCTCCGGGAACGCGATACCAGCACCATAGAGGCCTCGGACAATGCGCCCATCAGGATCATAAAAGCCACCCGAGACCGAGTCAAAGTCAGGCTCCAGTGGACGGCCATTGACCGATAATTCTGGTAGTGGATCTCGCGTAAAGCCCACAGCTTGAACTATATGAGTGCATGATGGCAGGACCCGCTGGTATTGCGCTGATTCCTGGCCGCCCCCGCAGTCTACCTTCGTGATGAAGCGGCCGGCCTCGGACTGGGGAATTTTGTCGTCCTCCAATTGCTGGCGAGCGAAATCAGCGGCAAGACCCTTGAGTCCAGTGTTGTCTCGGAGGATCCAGCCATCCATAAACTCCGCGTAACGCAGCGGATGCCGCGTGAACCATTTGATGCGGAGTCCAGGATGGGAGCTTCGTGCCAAGTCTACCAGGTTGAGTAGGGCTAGAATTGCACTGTGGGAGGCTCCTACCACGGCAATTTCCAAAGACTTGTTGTGGGGAAGATGTGTAATTAGTTCACTAGGCTTCAGCGCTAGATCAAGGTCCAGTCTTTCGATGCGGTGCCCGGCAATGGGGATTGAGACTTCCGTGGGGGATGATCCCGTGCAGAGAACGAGTCGGGGTGTCATCACATCAATCTCGTCTTGGGAGTCTTGAAACTTGATTCGAACTGTCCAATCAGATGTCTACACACAGTTAGCATTAAGAGAGAAGCTTTCCCAGGAGAACAGCGCGAACTGACTTGCTCGGAAAGATTGGCAGCTGTGACTGTACCCTGGCATGGCAGAACATTGTCCATCTTCGTGAGTCCGTCGGTGAGCGCACAAACCACATCCGCAGCATGATGTAGATGACAGGTCTTATCCTGGTCAAGCTTGGCCATAGTCGTAAAAGGATTGGGCATGCGGGTATCGGCAATCACGGATCTGAAGGGTTGGACAGCGGTAGCATAAGCTTGGAAAAACGACACCTTGGTGTTGCTGATGCTGTGGTGTCAGCGAGGAAGCTCCCGGGCTACAGTTTCGATCGGAAGTAGAGTGCCTGATCAGTATACACTTACCTGGGAACTTCGCGATATTTCCGATTGACTCGACCTCCTTGAAAGTATGGATCAACCCATGCGATTTTCCCACCCAGCCGCTTTTCTAGTAGACTTCCAACGACTGCCAAACCAGCAGGACCAGCTCCCACCACCACCGCGGCACATCTCTGAGGCTGTGTCATTCTGAGGACGCTTTGCGGCTGTAGAGACTCTCAACCAACGAGGTACCGTGTCAAAGCTCCAAGTGATCACTGTGAATAACCCAGAGTGTGCAAGAACCAGAGAGCAAGCTGAATATCTTCGAGAGAGAGAACAAGAACGAGCAATTTAAGGTAGGAGCTCAAGGCGATTGAAAGGCATTGCCGGAGTAATTCTCGGCGAAATAGTCAAATCAGAACCCCTTCGGGGATAGACAAATAAAAGACTCGTCATGGTCACTCTAGGAAGATACACAGATAATAGCAAGCCAGGGAGGGCTGTTGTTGAGACAGCGAGGTCCATATGGATTGCTCAGTCGGCGATTAAGTCAATCGGCGATTGACCACGCAGGGTGCCCGAAGAGACGGACGGGCAGGCGTCCACGGCGTGTCTGCGTCAACTCTCGGGCGAGATCACGCATCAGATCGTTCAGGCGGTGATGAACAGCCCGCTAACTGGTTCCTGAGCCAGTGCAGCTTCTTGTTTGGGAGTCAGTCAACTGATCAGTCGTTGAGGAGGTTGCGCAACCAACGCGGCCTGCCCCACCGGAATTGCTGCTTCGCTTTCCGTCGGCTGCTGTCATGGCGTATTCTGGCATCCATTTTGTCGACATAGGAATGTCAAAAGTAAAGAAGAAAATGGTGTTGGCGTACAGGGAAAGGCAGCATAACCCCCCCTAGATCGATTGACTGTCTCACATTTTCATCATTTGTGTGCTAACAAGAGTAAAAGCAGCCAAAATTGCTGGCCACGAGGAAGATCGCGACCTTATATTCAGGTGAGAGTTAAGAGAATGGGGCGCTCGCGGCAGAATTGCGTGATTTCCTATATGAATGAGGTGATTGTCCATTGTGCCTGATTTGGCAGGCAGGCTACCACTAGGTAGTACTGTACCTACTTCGTATAACTTAGCAGTCGTTAGCCCCCCGCGTCAGTCTTGACCGCCAGCGGGAATCCGGGGTATGCTGGGCGGCACTGCACTGGATGATAACGTAGACGAAAATGCTCTTCCTATCCACGGCAATCGTTTTGAGCCGAAAGAGTACCCACGATACTTATTTGCCGGCTACCTAACTATGCTATTGATAGATGCTGGATAGATGCTGGCATTGCCGTGTCAGCTTATAACTATCGTTTATCATCGAGACTGGCCCTTCTTCCACCCCTCGTTCTAGAGACCTAGAATCGCCTCAGATCGACAATCATCCATGTTCTATGTCATTGTCTTCCTACACCAAAATTATGGACTGTTTAGTCTTTATAGAAATGGAAGCCTTACAGTAGTCAACTCTCCTGCATAATCAATCAAGTCACCTTAACTTGAAAGAAAAGATCGTTCCAGCTTGATCACACAGCCCAGAACACTCGCACCACAACCCGCTCAACATGATTGATCCATCCTCCAAATCGAGCCCTCCCCCAGATCTGGATGGCATCACCCAATTCTAAGGCACGAACTTGACTACCATCCAAGGTTGCACGCCCACGACCCTGGCTGTTTTCGATTTCCTCTGCTTCACTAGAGTCGCTGCGGATATCATCCAGATAATGCCAAGTGATACGATGTAGCTGGGTATTCTTGTCCGCCGTTCGGTTTGACTGTAGCTTATGAGCGCTCGGGAGTAAAAGAGGGTCGCCCGATTCGAAGTGAGCCCGCTGCTTCTCCTGAATCGGTTCTTCACGAGGTGGAGGCGGCTTCTGGGCCGAGTGAATAATCTGGGTGTCGAACCATGTAAAAGACCCGTCGTACGGACCTTTATTGCGGGCGCCGCCACCCCATCCCTGGTCATGGGCTGAAATGGTGAACATGATTTTGCGGCAAGGGTGAGCGGTACGATGGGGAAGCACTTGGGGAGAGTCGGAGCTCAATGTCTATGCGATTTCATCAGTTTCGGTATGTTTGGATCGTTGTCATAGCTTCCCTTATTCGTCTGAATGCGAGACTGGTGTCACTTGGGACGGTAAAAACATACCTCCACAGCATAGCACAGTGGCACGGTTGTTAACAGCACCTGGTCCTGATCCTTTCGGATGATTGTCTCTCCTTCCAAGCTAGACTCGCTGGTCGCCCAATATTCGGCCGCATCCACAATCATGTCCACAAGCTCACAAGGAAACAGCTCCTCCGAGTCTCTCTTCCATTTCCAGATATGCTGCAGCAGGTATCGGACCTCCAACACGTCGTAGCAGCTAGGGTAGTATGTATCGTTCTCCGATGTCTTGGCTTCTTCCTTTGATGAAGCGCCGGTCTCGTTGTTACCCGCGGGGTCCGGTGGCCTTCTTACCCCTCGAAGCCGATGGACGAACGGAAGCATCATTATGGGTAATCCAAGTCGCTCTATATCAAGCAACAGACTGCAGGACGACAAGCGAACCGTTTGCGAGGGTGAATCTGTTAGGTACGAGGCTAGATCTCATCAAACCTAGGAGCACATCGAATTGCTGGTCGCAAGTGAACGGCAGGCTGATCCACTTCTACTCAAAAGACCAACAACAATAGGGCTTAGAGCGTCTCGGGCATTTGCTTGTAAGGCGCTTGAATATTCCTATTGCACCTCACGTGTTCCGGACGACAAGAGCGGAGACAGGTCGCGTTTGTCTCACAAAAGAAGTCAAGCTTGCGAAGCTATTTTTTCTGGAAATGATATCTTGATCTCTGCTTAAGAAGGGGTGACCGGATAATTTCTGGCTGTGGAGTCTTGTACGGATTAGCAGCTCATAATCGATAAGGGATGCGCCCGCGCAATGACGTCACTGTTCTTGGGTTCCTGGAGGCGAACGGCACCACGAAACTTGAGAATGAGTACACGTTTGTAGCATGTAGGCCTCCTCCAGCCCTGACAAACATACTGAGGAATCTCATAGATTGAATTTGACTTTCACACCCAGTTGTGCTTTTACACAAGTTCGCAATGTCCTATGTCCACCTGGGATGATAAATTACATACATGAAACGCGCCATACAACGAACGGAAGATTATTCCTTGCCTTTCCTACCACCAGCAGCCTTGTATGCTGCAGCGCGCTTGCTACTCCGACTGTTGCGCTTAGCCTTCGATCCACGACTCTTACCCTTGACTCGGATGCGTGATGCTCCTTCCGTGGCCCGCTGGCCTTCGAACACCAACGAGTTCTGCGAGATGGAGGTTCTTCCTGCAGCCTTGACCTTGGCTGCACCGGCTCGGCCAAAGAGCTTACCAGCACGACCCTGAAGTGTCTTATCCGCGTTTCCATGGGCCTTCCCTCGATTGCTGCCACTATCATCGCGCTTCTTCATGATCTTCCTAGCTCGAGACACACGGAGCTTGCGCGGGAGCATAGGTGGGTATTGCTTTCCTTCCAGCAGGAGGGCTTCCTCCACGCAGTTTTGATCGTAAAACTGAACATAGGCGAACCCTTTGCCAACACGCGTGGCAGAATCACGGACCACTCGAACAGACTCAACGCTGCCCTTTCCAGAACCATCCTTCTTTGACCCACCGGTGTGGGCATTGAACACCCTCCAGAGACCCTCTTCCACATCTGCGGGGGCCCGCGGCCTTTTCCTCTTCTCATCATCAGGCTTGGTCTCATTATCAATGAAGTCCAAGTTGCCAACGAAGATACACCGCTTGTTGTCGATTTGAGCGGGATGCGCGACGCTATCGACACGCAGATGGCGATCGAGGACAACGGTACCGTTCAATGCAGCCGGAGCCTTTCGTGCAGCCTGCACCGTTGAGTACACAGCATATGCGTTGGTGCATGGCGTCGTATCATCCAAAACTTCCTTGTTTGCGAACGCAGCTCGCTTTGGTACCTTGCCTCCGCTAACAAAGGCTGTCGAGCGGAAGCGGATTGATTCAACTTTGTGTGGTCCTGTGGATTCTGGGAGCGAGTCAAGGAAAGACCCAAGGTGTTTGAGAAGCGTCTTCTTAGCAGTCTTAGACTTGATAGCCTCGTTCGACACATTGCCAAGGAACACAGTGCGATTAGACTTATCCAGTTCCGCGTTCTCAGCGGCTCCCGTCAGACTCTCATGCTTCAGCACCGCAGTCTTCTCTTCACCTTCGCTGTCGCTTTCATCGTCGCTTTCATTAGCCTGCTCCTCATCGTCTTCATTTTCACCTTCTGTAACCTTTTGTCGCTTGGACGTCTCTTCACGACGCTTGAGTTCCTCCTTTTGCTGCTCCTTCTCTATGCGGCGCATGTATGAGTCCTCGACTTCTTCTGCCGGCGCCCTCTTCCGCTTCCGACTGGAGGCCTCGGAGACATTCACCGCCGCTATACTTCCAGAATCACTCTCAGCCTCTGAAGCCTCTTGCATTTCTTCATCCTCCAGCTCGGAGATCTCATCCTCGCTCTCGTCATCTTGCTCATCTTTCGCAGCGCGCTTCTCTGCCGGAGCAGTTATTGTCGGAGGCTTGACTGGACCGGCCTGTTGTAGAAATTTGTTAGCTCCATTAGCACGTGAGTATGATAAAGAGCCTGAAAACGTACACTTGTCGCGAATAAGGAAGCCAGAGAAGGATCTATGGGGGCAGTTGTTCCCAGAAGGGAGACAGACGTTTCTGTCTTGGCCATTACGGCGAAAATCTATGAGATTTCGGAAACCCTTTGACAATAAATGATCCACCACTTGAGCAGGAGACAGTGATCAGGTTCGCTTTTCGTTGCTGCAAATCTTATGACGGATGTTTCTGTTTCCGTATTTCTTCAACCAACTTTTTTTTCTCTTTCTTTTTTTGGAGGCGGTCTTGGCGACGGAAAGCCGGGGCAGATCACGTGGAGTCGGCTCTCTCACTCCATCCCCCTCAAAGAATTATTGAGACTAATGTAGTGAAACTATGCTCCCAGATGGCGAAGCGACTCACTTTTTCTGAAGTATACTCAACGCTTCTGGAATTGGGTTTAAAATTATGAAGCAGCAATGACCAGTGTAAAACGTGCTCGGTGTTTTTCCCCAGACCATAGAGTAGTGAGTATGCCCTAGCCAAAACCACTTCAGGCGGTGAGCCCTCATCCGGCGAAAGGAATATACAGCCGGCAGAACTCAATACGGGCGGAATACAGCAGGGTGACGCCGGCTCTGATTAGTGAGTGGTGAGGATGATTGCTGCTGCTGCTTGCTACTGCTGCTACTGCTGCTGCCGCACTTCTTCTCCCTCCTCCTCCCGCGCCATTCAAGCTGCCATCTCGCTTCTGCGCTTCAGACTTGGTGGTTTCGAATTCAATCTTGTTTCATTCCATTCCTCTCTCTCCTACCTTCACTTGAATTCGTTATCCTTGTACAGCCGACTACGCTTCTCTCTTCCATGCCGCTCAGTCTACCGTTACGCTGCACTTGTCGTACTGCCCGCTTCCTGAGAGTCGACGCCCACCACAACCGCCTTCTCATTGTCACTCTCGCTTCCCGTTGACTAGAAGTTCGTCTGCGCATCCTCATAGACTGAAGCCATACTTGGGTGCAAGGTCGGAGCTCTGGAAACTTGTGGATAGGCCTACCTTCCCTGATTCCTTCTCCGCGACCGCGGTGGTTCAGGGAATCGTGCTCGGTCGCGGCAGCTGAAACACTACGGATTTCACTGTCGGCGCATTGCTGAACGGTATGTTCCCCAATGCATTTCGAGCCAGTGGAGGATTGGTTTTGGATCAACTGCACTAGATTCAGCGCCCCAGACCCTTGAACAAGTGCCTAGAGCCCTGTTTGTCGGGCCGGCGCAGTTCTCAGAGCCCAAGCCGGGAGCGAGAGTGACTTTCGCTCTACCTGGGGTGTGATCAAATCTCCGCACCGCCTTTGGGACTCTGTCGCTCCCCTCTTCCTCCACCCTGCTTTTGAACTTGGTCGATTATCGTTTTGACTATATTCTTTTTTTTGTTGCTTTGACGAAATGTCTGTGGAGACTATGTCTAACTTTCTGGCTTTTACGGCAATAGGTCCACGTTTTTGACCCTCTCGCCCAGCATCCCTCTTCCCCCTCCCCCCCTCCCATAAGGCTACCGACCACAAATCCCAGCTTAATCTTCTCAATACTTCTTCAATCACCGCGGCTCCCCTCACTTGATTATCGGTGATTGCTGCGCAAGAAGATGGAAGTCGCCGAGAGTACAGAGCCTGCGGTGGTGGGTGCGCCACCTGGGATGGACACTACAATCGCCAATGGGGAACAGAACCTTCTCCTAGACGATTCGATAATGGGTGACGACCGATCGAGTAGCCTTAGTGAGATTGATGATGTGTCCGAAAATATACCATCCGATTATGAGTCTCCCAAGCCGGAACGGGTGGCACCGGAAAATGACTCGGAAGCGGAAACAGAGCGCATCGAGGACTCCCCAAACTTCCGTTCCAAAACAAACATTGTCGTGAGTGCAGCTGCTTATGAGCCAAGCCCCAGCAAATTGGCCCAGTCAACGACGTACGATGATGTCGAAGATGAAGAGGAGCATGCTGCAGACGATTCACCCAGCAAGCCTCGCTCCAGAATCACCCGTATCAATGACGTGGTAGATGAGACTTCTGGGCGCGAGGGCTCTATGCTCTCCATAGAAGGCACTGGCAAAAAACGCAAGCGCTTGGAGTCCGGCGACGAGCTGGGCACCGAAATCGACGACGATGACTTACCGTCACAGAAACGTCGCGGCTCAGTGAAGAGTGATCTGAGCGATCCACCCCCAGACGATATCGCTCTAAGCCCCGAACCAATGGAAGACCTTTCTAAAGCCATTGAAGAGGATACACCGGCGGATGAGACGCCCGAGTTAACCTCGCATGCAGTCCCCACGAAAGGTAAAAGGGCAAAGAAGGGCAAGCGGAAAGGACGGAAAGTTAGAGATGCAGATGACGATATGGATAACGGCATCGGTGACATGGGCGCCGAAGTCGATGACAATCTTGCGGAAGACGACACTGCTGAGCGCGGTGAGGATGTGGACGATAGTGAAGCTGCTGCTAAAATTGAAGAAGAGTGTAAGTCTTGCGGACCACGCTCGATCATGGTCATAAACGGGCACATAACTGACATGTTCCTTCTAGCAGCGAAACGAATGGCTGCCATGGATTCATTAGCCGTATTAGAAAGAGAATTCGCAACGTTGCGTGACAAGTAAGTTGCTGCCACCACCGGTCCACGTGGCCCCTCATCACTGACCTATGTAACTTAATTAGAATATACGACGAGAGAATCTCCAAACTGAATCGGGAACTAGAAATGTTGAATGGTCCGAATCCCACGCACCCTGAATTTTTGCGGCAGCTCGACTGCCTCGCCCGCTACAGAGACTCCAAGATTAAATATGAGCACACGCTGTTCCAGTACCGAATACAGGCTTTGCTGAACAAGAGCTTGGCTGAACGGGCGCAAGCACACAGTACATATTTCCAGCGAGCTCGGGATATTCGCGAGAAACATTCTAGTACGATCAGCAAACAATTCTACTCTATACAGCATGATCGATTCAAGACGGACGACGTCAGTCCACAGCATTATATTCCTTTCCCGACGCGTCGCTCACAACAAATTGCGCATCAAACAGCGTATAATCAAGAAGTTTCGATTATGGCCGGAGTCGCAAAATACGTTGGCTTCCCTGCGGCGCCTTCGCTGTCTGCGGCGCGACCTTCCGAGCTGGAAGACGACCTGGAGAAAATGGGCGTAAGTTGTCTCAGTCATGCTGCGAATCACCGGCAACCTCTGCTAACGTGCCCTTGTACTCAGATATCCATCGAAACAAAACCCCCACTTACTCAACAGCAGCCTACTTTACCCCGGGGAACTATGCCAGCCATGTCATCGAGCGTCTTCCGCACACCAGCAGAGGAGGCCTTCTTGGAGCAGACACCATGGGCCAACCCGCAACATCCCGTCCATCAACACCAACAATTTTCACAAAGACCCCAGAACCGAATTTACGAGAATCCCCGGGCCCCTACATACACTACCCCTGCTGCTCAAAAACGAGTGGTTGATATCCACGCACCCAACGGCTCAGCCTCTACCATCGCGGAAAATTCATCAGCCAATAACACCCCGTTCGATCAAGAACAAGCTCCTCCCAATCTTGGCCATTTCGTCAACCCCGATTATGATGCCGACCGGAGGTCTGGATTTCGGTCTCTAAGCTCCTCCCCGCTTGACGTGCGAAAACCACATCCCGCCTCCTACAGCGCTTTTGACCACCGCTCCCCTCAAGGCACCTCTCAGCATGCTGCTTACTCTCCTCCGTCGGCCCGCCTGGGCCTTTTTCAATCGGCCTCGTCCAAACGAGAGCCATCTCCTTCGCTCTCCTCTCGGCCTGTCAACTCCTTACATCAATCGGCTGGCATCCTAGGCGGCCCTGGCTCCAATCAGATGGCCGCTCGATAGAACAATACCTGTACACGGCATGCAATCACCTCACAATAACGGCAAACGGGTCCGCATTAGGGCTGGGCATTTTCTGCGATGTATAGGGGTTTCTTTTAGGGTGTTCTAGAGAGTTCTTTTTTCCCCGCATGTATGTACGGACACGGGATGTATGACTTGGAAATCACCGGGACGAATTGAAATCTGCCATCTTATTTCTGTTTCTCTTGCCTGCTACGGTCTGGGACCGTCCTGTGTAAATAATAGGGAGATGGCAATTGCGTTTTGCTTCTGTGCGATTCTGTCTGAAGGTGAATGATCTTCAAGATGAGTTCTTATGATGTTAACCAAGCACAAGCACCGTGCCTTCTGCTCTCATTCTTACTGGCGATGTTTAGATACCTTCCTACCTTATACCTATTTATGATTATAATATTAGTTCTATCATTTCCTGACAATCATGATATCCTCGCTGAACAGGAAGAATGGGAGAGAGAGAGAGAGGGTTAGAGAGAGGGTGAGAGAGAGAGAGATACAATAGTCCGTGCGGTGCGTAAGACCGATGTTGATAAGCATGCGGTGAAAGACGGAGAGACTCTTTGGTGTGTATCAACTATGTACTTCGTACAGTACTCATGTATGTACAGTACATAGATTAGCATAGTATAGTAAGATCCGACGCTCGTCCGACATCTCCGACTGGCGGCGGGCGGTTAGTGGCGGCAGTCGTACTCCGTCTAGAGTGTGGAACGGGAGGAAGAATAAATGGAAGGCGGAGTGGGGATTTGCCCGCCACTTCGTCCTATCGACTTCCGGAAGATCTCCAGTCGGCAACGTAAAAGAAACTCATCTTCGTCCATCTGGGACAATTTGGTTCAATTTTTTTTTTCTTCTTTTGATTTTTTTTTTCTTCTTCAGCAGGGAGTTTGGTCCTTTCTACGCCCTTGGGAGTCTTGGCAGGTTCGCATTTGCATTCCGGCAAAAATTATATTATTTAGGCCTTTCTTTCGAGGGGGTTCTGCTCTAATTACAAATCTGTCTGTCTGTCTGTCTGTCTTCGTTCTCGTGCTTACAGCCTGCACAAAAACCACTCCTACTTTATTCAGGCTCTTACTATATAAGTCCACACGCTTGTCCTGTCCTGTGTCCATCGCAAACGGCAACGTTGGGAAATCACATCATTTCTTTGTGAAATTGGTCCACTAGCATAGCATACTATATAATCGGAGCCATTCCTCCTGGTTTCTTTGATCTCTCAAACCCTTTTTCCGCATTCATCCACCACATTTCGTCATAATGGTCGCTCAAAACGGCGATTCCGTCTCCCAGGAACGCCGCTTCGGAACTTTGGCCGTGCATGCTGGTGCTCCCCATGATCCTACCACCGGCGCTGTTATTGCTCCGGTCAGTTCTCCTCGCTAGGAATTCTGTTATCACGCAAATACTAACCCGAAACGACTAGATCTCTCTGTCTACTACATTCGCACAAACCAGCGTTGGTTCCCCTGTTGGTCTTTACGAGTACACTCGCAGCTCGAACCCAAACCGGTCAGTGAGCTTGGGGTCCCTCCCAAGTTAGACGGACGCTGACTATAGACCAGAGACAACTTTGAAGAAGCTATCGCTGCCGTTGAGCACGGTAAATATGCTCTGGCCTTTTCCTCCGGATCTGCCACCACTGCTGTGATTCTGCAGTCTCTCGCAGCGGGCTCGCACATTGTCTCCGTCTCCGATGTGTACGGCGGCACCCATCGCTATTTCACCAAGGTCGCATCTGCCCATGGAGTTGAGGTAACATTCACGCCCAGCATTGAGGAGAATGTTGAACAGTTGATCCGTCCCAACGAGACCAAACTGGTCTGGATCGAGACCCCTTCCAATCCTACCCTCGGCTTGGTCGATATTGAGAAGGTTGCTGCCATCGCGCATAAATATAACATCATTGTGGTCGTCGACAACACCTTCATGAGCCCCTATGTCCAGAACCCCTTGGATCATGGTGCTGATATTGTTGTGCACTCCGTCACCAAGTACATCAACGGTCACTCAGTAAGCTTGGCTTCAGATTCCTGACCAGTAGGGTCTATCGGCTAACATTAGGAATAGGATGTCCTCATGGGTGTTGCCGCGTTCAACTCGGACAGCTTGAAAGAGCGTCTTACCTTCCTTCAGAACGCCATTGGTGCCGTTCCGTCTCCCTTCGATTGCTGGCTCGCTCACCGCGGTCTGAAGACCCTCCACTTGCGTGCGCGCGAGGCCACCACCAATGCCACGGCCGTCGCCAAGGCCCTCGAGGCCTCTCCCCATGTCATTTCTGTCAATTACCCCGGTATCGACTCTCACCCGCAGCGCGCTATCGCTGTCAAGCAGCATCGTCAAGGCATGGGTGGTGGTATGCTGAGCTTCCGTATCAAGGGTGGAGAGCAGGCTGCCCACTTGTTCTGCAAGTACACTAAGGTCTTCACCCTGGCGGAGAGCTTGGGTGGCGTTGAGAGTCTTTGCGAGGTTCCCGCAGCCATGACCCATGCTGGTATTCCCAAGGCCGATCGTGAGATCGCCGGTGTTTACGACGATCTCGTTCGCATCTCTTGCGGTGTTGAAGATGCCGAAGATCTCACGGCTGATGTTCTTCAGGCCCTTAAGAAAGCCGTGGCTGCTAGCCACCCCATTGAGAACGGCAGCGCTTGATTGAATGGTCGTTGATGATTGAGAACTGTTTACTGCGATAGAAGATAGACCCGTTAGAGGGCTAGATCAAACACCATCAGTTGAACACTCGGTGGAACGTAACCGACCGAGCGAGGCATGAAGTATAGTGCATGGTGAGGAGCTTGCATAGAAACTCATTTCTCTAGTTAGATTCACAAATCTCCTTGTGAAATTATCATGAGCGCAGCATACACGGTTGATAATGAATGTATCTGTTTCCGGACGAAATGCTTATTAAAGTGTGTTACTTAAGACTTAGTTTAGATTCTATGGAATTGCAATCACATAGAATTTTGGAAAAATACTTGTTGAACCAACCCCCCACAGAAATTGTTCGTAGGCCATGAGTGACCAGAGAGCGCTCTATGGAAATCGTGGGCCATACAAACCGATTAGTCATCTTTCTTCCCCTTTGCCTGCGAGAAAATTTAGAGGATCAGGACCTCGACCACGCATGGTAATAATACTAACATCTCGTGGGCATTTTATGCTGCCATTCTACACCCCATAGTTCATAGAACTTGGTTTCTGGGCTTACGCACTGTTGCTTGAGGGTTGCAAACTCATTTGTACGCCAGCAGTGCAATCTATACAGGGCACCCCACCCCATATCGACCGGAAAGGAACTGGGAAAGTGTTACTCTGCATATTCCAACAATCCTTTTTCCTAATTGCTTACGCGGTAAAAGAAAGCTGTAGAAGAGGGAGATAGAGCTAACGGCTAAATTGCGGAATCGCCACAATCATGTCGTCCACATTCAGCTTTGGCTTTGCGGGGGATGATATTGATATTGACGAAAATGATACCGGCGTTGTCTCTCAAGAAGGCTTTACTTTCCGACAAGGCATTAGTGATACCCTGCCCGAGTTGGTGCCAGCCAGGCGTCATGATATGTCAGAGTGGGTAAGTCCTCGTGGGAAGCAAGCTCTCAAATCCCGGAATTGCTTCAATCAAGATGTGACAAGGTGTAACCGTGCTACAGATTCCCTCACTTCCCTCTCAAATCTCGTACAACAAGCTTGCCATCCCTACTTCTCAGCATGGAAGCCCAGGGAAGCCGGTGACGCTTGCACGCCGGGATGTATACGACATTCGAACCCAGCTGATGGCAGAAGACACTGCCGACGACAGAGAAGACAACTATGAGCTGATCACGGGGCTTGAAAAAGGCGACATCAAGCCCAACTTCTACGAGGGCGGCTTTAAGACGTGGGAATGTGCCTTGGACCTTGCGAAATTGCTTCTCGACGCCAATGCGATGACGGAAACTGCCGGCAAAGGGCACTTCATCGAGGTGAGTGAATGCAAGGACAGTTGGGACGGCCCACTGGCTCAAGGAGCTCATCCATACTAATGCTCCTATGCCTTGTAGCTCGGGGCAGGCACTGCCGTGCCATCCTTGGCCCTGTTCGCACAGCTACTATCAATGGAGCCCAATGCTCAACGAAGGGTCCACTTCACATTCGCGGATTACAACTCCGCTGTGCTCCGTCTCGTCACTTTCCCGAACCTCCTTCTGACATGGAACTACATCGTCTCAGCACAGGGAAAGCCGCTCTCTGCCGAGTCTCTGTCGCCCGAAGATGGGGCCACTGAGGATGAATTACTGGACATTAGCCCCGAGCTTGTCGCCAGCTTCCAGAGAGACCTCGAAAGGCGAGGTATCACTATCGACTTCGTCTCCGGCGCTTGGTCGCCCGAATTCGTGGACTTGGTGTTTTCATCCGGTGAACAGGGTAGAAGCGATGCGTTGATTCTCGCAAGCGAGACCATCTATTCTCCTGCCTCGCTGCAAGCCTTCTCGGAAACGTTGCTTGCTTTATTGCGTCGGCCTGCGCAGGAAGGATTCTCAAGCAAGGCTTTGATAGCGGCGAAGAAGGTCTACTTCGGGGTGGGTGGTGGGGTGGATGAGTTCCTTGCTGTGGTCGGAGGGATCAGTGGCGGCAACTTGAGGGTGCAAGAGCGACTAGATGTCAAGTCTGAAGGTGTTGGAAGGGTCATTCTCGAAATCGTGCTTGGCTAGGAGTTTTAATGCTCGGTAATTCTGGTGCTGCCATGATGAATGATGGAATATAGTTGGGCTTAGATAAACATGCATTCTTATTGGCTCGGGCGCGGAAGCGAATGTGATCGGTTACGTAGCTGTCACACGGTGTCTGCGCAGTTCAAGACTCACTCTATGGCACTATAGGACAGCCCCAAGGGTGAAAGGCCAAGAATTCGGTGGAGTAGAAAAGAAAAAAGAAACATTGAGACCATTTACCGGTCTTGTTATATGTACATGTACAACGCGTCGTGCTTCCCAGATCTACCGACAGAGTTTTGTGACCAAACAATTCAAATCAATTCAGCTTAACTATTCATAGAGAGAAACGACCTTGCCGTCCTTCATCCGGGCAACGCGGTCCTCCTCAATGGCCTGGTTCTTGCGCTCGTAGTGTGCGACAACCCTGCTAATGTCCGCATCGTAGCCGGCGACAAGGTTAATAGGCTGGACGGCGTGGAAGCTGACCCTAAAAGTGCAAAGAGCATATGTTAGTGCCCACAATTCTGGGGGTAGAAAGGCTGCAGCAGGATCGTACTCGGGTTGCATCAATCCGTATGTTTCGCTCGGGCCCTGACTGGCGAACAAGTGACGGTCGCGAGCGGCCTTCTCCATCACCGCCGTCCGGATGGCGTTCCTCTGCTCAAAGACCTGCTCCGAGGGAGTCCACTTCTGGATGAGGTTGGAGATCCAAGACTGGGAGCCCGACTCCTCGGTGGCCTTGTGGATGCGGTAGATAACGTAGCAGGAAGCGAAGGTGCCGACGGTGACGTAGAAACTCCGCTGTTGGGATTGGTCGGTCTCAGTGTTAGCCCATGACTCAGTAGAAGAAGCAGGAACAATGCGATCTTGCAGCGTAAGATCCTAGCAGCCCGTCGCGGGCGACACGGACGGGGGTGATCGTTCCCAATTGGAGGGAACCGGTTAGGTAGGTAGGGGAACGTACGCCGAAGCTCTCGTTCACAGGGGCAGCGTGGTGAGCTGCATGAGAGCCAAATCGATGGGGCTGCTGGTTCCGCAGCAGTAGCCGCGCCGAAGCTACCGATCGCCTGGCAAAGAACATGGTGTGGGAGAAGATAATTGGCAGCGCCGAACAATCACGATGCCGTCGCTGGGGGCTTTCTGGTGAGGTTGAAAGCGCAGAAGGACGGCTCAAGGTGGCTGTCACGTGATCGAATGTCTGGATTGGGCTTAGGGCTGCCATGCTCAGGTCTTAACCCCGGCGGGATTAGCGCTGTGGTCGTACCTTAGGCAAGTATGGCAGGGCCCGACGCCGTCGCTGCGGTGAACTTGGGACAGCATGTATGTCCTGTACTCTGTCCTGTACATGCTGTGTTCCCGGGAAATCATCAGGTTGCGGTTGTGGTTGTTGTTGTCAAAGCATCATGTCAGTCTCTGACAGCCTAACAAGAGCTGCATGTTGGTCAAATGAGATCGCTCGGACCCTCGGACCCTCCAGCCATTGCCTTACCTGCAGAAACTACTCCGTACTATTCTCCCTCTTCTTTCCGAGGGACCAGAGAAACCCTTCGCCTCGAGAGCCTGCCAGGTGGAGTTGAACCCCCGTCGAACGGTGTTTGGTGTTCGGTGGTGCACTGACTGACTGGTGCATGGCGGCTGCATGGGCCGACGACTGGCGGGTCGTTCGCTGTGTTGGCTTGTCAGTAAGTCAGCGACTAGCCAGTCTACAGTACAGTACACTCCGATCCTCTACACCGCACCCCAGGGTGGTGGCCCTGATGGCCCTGATGCATGGCTAACTGCCTCACTTCAACATGGCGCTCCCCACTGCTCGCTCTTAGCGCGACGTCAATTGGGTTTCATCTTCTGCCAAATCATGTGGACTCCGCAACCTCTGGTTATCAAGGGGGACATGTCATCGATCTGTACTTAGCGTTGTCCCACACCACACCCCACCCACATACTCCTCTCCCCCCAACCGGTATCATCTTACTCGAGGACAGTACTGTACCTCCCCCCCCCCGCGGCGTTATTCGAAGAAGATTTCAGGCTACCGAGCTTTGAATAGCAATTCGTTCTTACCCATGCTCTAATTTCTCCCTTCCCCGCTCTCTTCTGATTCTTCCGGTCACCGCGAGTATCGCGTCTTTGATGCCCAATGCGTGAGGTGATTGGGTCTGGGATAAGTCGGATCTCCAATGCTTCGGTCCACCCTTCTGACTCCTTTCTTTTGCCTCTCCGCAGAGGTGTGTGCATGCTTGCCTCTTGTGCCTAGTTGGCCTCCGTATCCACGACCGACGATGGGTATCAATCGTCCTCTAAGGTTCGGTCCGTTTGACGCCTTGCCCAGCCCCCTTGAGGCTGGTTGAAATGACTCTCTCACCATGCAATTCTTTCCCTGTTTGGGCGTCTCTGAGAACCGGTTATTAGCTGTCCAAATTTCCCTCCACGTCCCTCTTCTCTTTGGTCCCCAGCCCTCAGCATCCCAACTATTTTAAGAGCCAGCGTGTGGAAAGCCATCCTGGCATTCCGAGTTGTCTGCCCGCCGGCGAAGCTGCCATCTGACGCCCGGTCACTTGTCTTCGTGTATGGCACTCATTTGTGCCCACTCCCTGCATATTCTCTAATTCTTTCTTGATTCCTCCTATTGTCCTAATTCTTTTCTCCCCTACCCATTTTGCCACCGAGAAACTCTGTCTGATCGTGTGATCGCCCACGCCTCCAGACTGACCATTTTCGGTGCCTTGCGTTCGCTCTGTACCTATACGGAGCCGGAATATAACTTGACACCGCCGAACGCGCCTGCAAATGTACATTGTTAAACCCACGTTCACCCAATCGAGCTTCTACTGATAGAATCAAGTTTTCAGCTTACTGGGAACACGTCTGTCAGCCTTACTTTTCAACTTGGGCACGCACTACTATCAACCATGGCCAAAAAGAACAACAAGGCTAATAACAAACAAAAGAATAAGAAGGGCAAGAGTCAAGAGGCCTCTGGGACCCAGACACCTCAGCCCGAGCCTGCCGCTGTCGAGCAAGATGAACAACTAAATCAACAAGAGACACCTCAACCTGAGCTATCTCTCGAGGAACAGCAAGACGAACAGCAGGAACTGTCTCAACCTGTGACCCCCAGTCAAGAACAAGAACCACAAGACTTAGGCTGGCAAGACCAACAACCAGAGACACCTCAACCAGAGCTCTCAGAACAACAGCAAGCACAGCACGACACACAACCCGAAGAACAACAAGAGCAGCAGCAGCAGGACGAGCAAGAACAACCGCAAGTCGAAGCGGCCGTCGAATCGCAACCAGCAGCGCCAGAATCTATTTCTGAAACAGTAGCAGAACCTGCATTGGAACCAGAGTCAGTGCCAACCCAAGAATCGGAACTGGAGCAACCACCAGCTGTTGTCGAGGAACACTCGACTGTTCCTGAAACGGAGGCTCAAGCTCAGCCCCCAGTGAGTGACGAGGGCTGGTCTGATCAGCCAGCCATTTCGGAGCTTGCTCCTAGCCAAGAGCCAGACGTGAACGATGTACAGAACAGCCCCGAACAGCCACAAGAGCCAGCCTGGGAGGCAATAGGCTCGCCGGAAACCCCCGTGATAGAGACCGAAGGGACTCACGAGGACAGTCAATCTCTGGCTGAGCCCAGTGGCACTGCAGCGCCCACGGAGGAGAACCCAGTGACAGCACCACAAACACCGCTGGAGCCCACGTTTATCCCAACATCTGCAGAGCCCTTGGAGTCTCCTGAGCAAACGGAGGATCAGTTCGTGGCAGCTCCTGCCTACGCTGACGCCGCGGATTCTGCTGGCGATTTGCACAACCCTGTCATGTCTGGGTCCTTCTCCGAAGCAGAGCTCGTTCAGTCCATTCCTGAATCCGATTCGCTTCCCAAGCAAACAACTCCACCCGCCTCTAAGCCTGCGTCTCCTATTCCTCAAGCAGCTTCACCGATTCCTCCCGCTGCTTCTCCATCCTTCAAATCCGTTTCGCCTGCTCCGCAGAGTGCTGCTGCGACTCCACGTGCTCTTTCGCCCCACCCGCAATCGGCTCCGCCTGGACAACAGTATTCCTCCCCGATGGCCGTAACTATGATGCCAGAAGATGAGCTTGCTGTTCTGGCACAGCAGGATGCTTTCCCTACACCGCCAGCTGAGTCCCCGGTATTTCAGCCAACCTCACCCATGGCGCAAGCGACGTCCCCAGAACACAGAACTGCCTCTCCTGTGGCGAAAACGATCTCCCCTGTCCAGAAGCACATTTCCCCTGTCGCCAAACCCGCATCCCCAGTTCCGAAGGTCAGCAGTCCACTAGCACGGGGGCACATGTCGCCCGTAATGTCTCCTCAGTCGGCCCCTCCGCCAATGGGGCAAAGAGTGCCCTTGCAGGCCATGCCACCCTATCCTCCCTCCTACCATTCGCCTATGATGAGCGCCAATGGCTACTTGCCCCAGTATGCCTACTACCAGCCGTCTCCTAACGTACACCCCACACCTCGAGGCTCCATAGATCCAGGCTCAGCAGCATCCTTCCAGATGTTGCGCGACCTGGGCTTTGCCAATGGACATGGCCTCAATGGGAAGGGAGGCACAATCTCTCCTCCCGAACATGAGGAGCCTATCGAGCTCCTTCAAAGGATTCAGGACGCTATTCCTGACATCGGCCGACTGCTCTCGAGCTACAAGAACACCAAGGGCAAGCTCCAAGCAAGGGAAGCTGAGTTCAAACAGATGGAGACTCAGCATGAGCAGGCTTTGATGCACAAGGATTTCTATATCGAGGCACTCCAGAATCAGATGCGGAAAACCGCAAATGAGAGTGCCGAGGAATCCACCAGGCTCAAGAACACGATCAACGAGCTGCGGATGGAGCTGGGCAACCTCGATGAGAAGCAGAAGGATCTCGAAGAGAAATTGCTTGAGTTTGAAAATTCCAACAAAGAGCTCACCCAATCTAAAGCCGAACTTGAGGATAAGGTTGAGTCGCTCGACAGCAGCCTGAAAGAGGCATACGAGACCTATGAGCGAGACATGGACAAAGCCAAAGAGGAGAAGGCGGAAGCTCTTGCAACCCAGAAGCAAGAGTTGACCGAGCTTTTCGAAGAGATTAAGGCGGAGGATGAGAAAGCAGCAGCAGAAGCCCTGGCAGCACGCGAGCGAGAATTGCTTGACCAGCAAGAGGCGATGAAGAATGACTACGAGAACCAGAAGCAGCAGATGCAGGAAGCACATGACGTCCTGCAGGCCGACTTCGACTCCAAGGTGACTGAGCTGACCTCCACCAAGGAGGAACTAGAGACCAGGACTACCGAGCTCGCCGATAAACAGAAGGAATTGCAGGACACCTGTGAAAGACATGCTCAGGAGCTGGATGCAGCCCACCAAGCGCACGCTAGCGAAGTCGAGTCTCTTAACAACAGTCATGCAGAAGAAGTGGCTGAGATGAAGAAGGACTTTGCCGATCAGCAGCAGCAATGGGCGGACGAGAAGTCTTCTCTCGAGCAGCAAATCGCAGAGAAGACCGAAACCATCGAGAACCTTGAGCGTGAGAACAAGAGACTAGAGGAGGATGTTGCTGTCAAGGAGAAGCAGCTTCAACACTCGGTGGAGAATATGCGCCTCACAATCGACAATTTGGACAAAGATTGCGATAGGTTGAGAAAGACCCTTCACAGCCTTGGAGAAGCCACTGACCTCAAGAGCACAAAGGGTGATTCTTTCTTGTAAGTGACCTAGTGCATTGAGAATATGTTTTAGTACCCGACTTTCGTTCAGAGAATGTGTTCTCCTGTGTTTCTTTCTCATTTCTTACGGGGACTCAAACTCCCTTCTCTCACGATACTTGCATTTGACTTGATACGTCTGAATCTCTCGTTCGCTTTCCTTTCCTTCTTGCATGAACCAGATCGACTCACAATCATTTCTTTTCTCCTTTCCTATGTTGTCTGTTTTCTCTATAGACTGATTATGATGATGATGACATGTTGATAACGCTATAAATGTACGTGCTCTGATAAATATTCCGACTTCTAGTTTGGACTGCTTCGGCCAGCTCTCTCGTCTTATTGTCTCCCTGTCTAAGGAGCACTTCTCGTACCTCCCAATTGATCCTCCCAAGGACATCCTCTCCAAGCTTCCGCCTGAGCTGCCATCGTTTCTTGATAACACTCCGGCCTCGCGTGAATTACGCTCCGCTTATGTTCAACATGTCGTGTCTAAGACACTGACTTACCGGATCTTCCACCCTTTCCTCTTTACCCTTGGCCGACGGTACGATAAGGCGGACACTTTCTTCCAGATGCTTTCGATGGACATCCGACGCAAGTCCGTACGACGCGAAGCGTTCTGGAGACAGCAAACATTGAAGGCAGCTTACACTACATCGGATGCCAAGCAATCAATCAATGTGGTTGCTGCGGTCATTGTTGATGAGATCATTGATCAGCTTAAGCACTTTGCAGACCCCCGGAACTTGGACGCGCTTCTAGTTGGCGTAAGGAAGATCGTTAAGTTGGCAGCCGAAACCTGGCGCCTGGCTCGGGTTGAGCGAGAGCTCATTTTGGCTTCACTGCCAGCGCCGGACGCCGATATCGTTCCAAACGACGATTGGGAGGAGTATGGGACCCCCAAGGAAGGCACTCTTAGCTCCAAGGAGGACCCGACACGTCACGTCATCCTCAGAACCTTTCCCCGAATCACTCGCGAAGCAGCTCACGAGGACTTTATCGGAGAGGAGGAGAAGTCCCACCCTTGCACCTACTCGCAGGGTTGCGTCCTTTACTCCGATTCTCCCGTGGTAATGGCCCGGCTACAGGAGCTAGCAAAGAAGTCCACGGACGCTTTGGCTAGTGGGGATGAATCTCCCCGCCGTGGCTCGCGGGAATCGATCCACCGTGAAGGGGATGTACCTTCGTCCAAAAAGAGCAAGAGAAGCAGGGAAGAAATCAATGGCGCACCCGTGGACATTACGGTATGAACACGTGGATTGCAGTGAGGCAACCAGATGAAACGTGAATTACAACTAATAAATGTGTTCGATTATTGACGCCCTTTGACTTGTTTTCTACTTTTTATTCTTCTCCATGGGTGTTCTTTCTGTCCTTTTACACCGCATACTTGTGCTTGTTATCATTATGCATGGTGCTGCAGCTTACGG